AAAAAAAATTATATATATATATATATATATATATATTGTGTCAGAAATATCTAAACAATCAATACCTCCATCTGCTCTACTATTGGACAGCACTTCCTTTTTTAATTTATGAGATTTATTTCTCCAAATAAAGTTTAAGAAAATATTATTAATTTCTTTGGCAACTTTGTCCTCAATAAATAAAGATAGAGATGGATATACAAAATTAGATTTTCCTTTTTTATCAGCTGTAGTGCATTCCATACTTCTTCACATTTTAACTCAGACTCACAATATGATTTATAATCTTTATCAATAGCAGGGATACAACACTGTATCTCATCAAGAAAGCTTTCACAACTGTTAACATCAAATTTAGAAGAGTAAAGGTTGCTATAAAAATTATAATACATTTATTTATCTGAACTAGATCTTTACAAACTGCTCCATCAATATTGAGATCTGAAAGAGATTTTGTCGTTCCATTTCTGTTTTCAAGGGCAAAGAATAAGGGTCGCGACCCCAGCAGAATGGTGTAGAAAATTGTATCTTCCAAAATGATTCATCCACATCTCCAGAATGTGTTTCTTGTAGAAAAAAATTAAATCAACATCACTTCTCTTACAAAATAAAAAAACTAAATTGCTTTCCTTTTGACCACATCGCACAATCCCCTGACATTCAGAGACATATAAAATTATTAAATAATAAAATATTAAATAATAACGTTAACAGCAAGCAGGGTTTACTTTGTTCTTGTAAAGAAAACGAAGGCCATTGAATGGGCACGAAGATGACAATAATAATAAAAAATATACATTATCGTTCAGATAAATTAAACAAAGACGGCATAGCCAATTCAGTCATACTTGAAGCTAACTAAACATGCAACCTAATAAGAGGTCAAATCAACCTTGAGTGCCTTTATATCGCATTGTTTGTCAATCAAAGTTTAGTCACCGAAGGTAAAATTCAACACTACTTTACATACGAAAAGTAGTGCTTCCTCCCATCAATTAACGTGAACGAGGGACGGAAGGAAGCCTTCTTACCCGCATCCCTTGCTGCTTTAACAAGAGGCAAGAGCTCTCCCCTCGCAGCTCTGTCTTCTGGAGACAGGGGCTCCGTAAGACGCAGGCCGTTATCTTCTAGAAATGTCTTCCTTCTGGCAGCTCGCCAGCTTGAGGCTCATAGATGGTGAAAATTAAACAGGATGATGGTAGCCCTTGCCTTTGCGTCATCCCTTAACGGTCCCAGTTGATGAGCTTTGTCCACACCTTCAGTTAATCCAGGGGTGTCCAGACTCGGTCCTGGAGGGCCGGTGTCCTGCAGAGTTTAGCTCTAACCCTAATTAAACACACCTGGAGCAGCTAATCAAGCTCTTACTAGGAACTTCCATTCAGGTGTGTTGAGGCAAGTTGGAGTTAAACTCTGCAGGACACCGGCCCACCAGGACAGAGTTTGGACACCCCTGGGTTAATCCATCGCAAGCAACTTTTCCACTGATGTCCACTGCCACCTTTCGGATGTCCTCCCCTTCTTTTTCTCTTACTCCATGTAACTTCAGCAGCCATCTTCGGCTATAACGTCTGCATTCACACAGACCGGACTTCAGGGACTTATTTTCCTCTTTCAAACTTTGTATCTGTCCATCAATGCATTTCGAGGCGTCTTTGTGTTGTCCGACATCCAGTGCAAGCTATGGTGAACCGTCACGGAGAGATTTTCAAGCAACTTAGATGTAGCTTCGGCTGTCATTTCAATTGTAGCAATCTTTTTAAAGAATGCATCATGTTTAGCAGAAAGTTCTCGTATTGCAGTCAGTATACTCGCATTTCCATAGCTTTCTTCTGGATCGCTTCCCACTTGTCGCTTGTTTTTTTTTTTTTGGCCAATGGTTTCTGCTGCGTCTCAGGAATGGGGGTAACAATAGCCTCTGTATCAAATGCTTTTGTGAAGGTGGTCCCACACTCATATAAGTTCAACATGCATTTTAGTTTTAGTAAAACTGCTAAACTGTTCAACTCTCCTCTGTATGCTGTTCACAGATTGAGGTATCATTTGGATGAGGACATGTGAACATATGGATGATCACCATCTATATGTTTTCATGAGCTTCATTTAGTTATTTATAATTGCCATAAATGCAGTAAAGCTTTCAATTCTCATGTGTCTAAGTTTTGACCAGTAGTTCCCATGTTCCTGGAGGCCTCCCAACAGTACAAAAGAAACAGAAGCCTTATTAGAAGTCAGTGTAACATTGGAATGCTTTTGCAACTGATATTTCAAGGTAATAAATAAATAAATAATAAAGTATTGCAAGACAATCAAGCAAAAAAATATACTATTCTGTTATTTTGGAGAGTTCATCTTACATACAATTTTACTGACTCTCTGCCTATTGAGAAATTGTGGTTCCTAATTTCAGGTTAACTGTGGGTTTGCATAGTAAGATACAAATACTTTTGTGAAATAACTTGAGAAATCAGGAAGTCAGCTAATTCTAAGGTGCAAAAAGTTTCCACCAAACATCAACTTCTTTCATTTATTGTGCAAGTAAATAATAGCTTGTAGTTGCATGTTTCAATGCATTTTAGACTTTCTCTAACTGCATAATGAGAGCAAACTATTTAATAACTGATTGAAACAGTCAATTTAGTGCATTACTGGTTTTAATGTCATCATCTCTTTAATCAATGGACCAAATGGTTTAGGTTAATAGGCAATTATTTTGAGTGACACATTTTTAGCACTTAAGTTAACTGCTATGCAAGTGCGTTTGAGCACATTTTTCTCAAACTGACAAAGACTGTTGACATTTTGACTGTTGGGTGCTTCTTAATATCCTAAATGATGCTTCCTCGCACCTTCATCCTTCAGCAAGAAATGGACAGAAGTATGTAGAAATAAGCAACTGAAGCTCCCGTTGTGTTGCACTGGTGGGTTTGTTTTGCCATGTCACCCTTAGTTTGAAGACTAGACTAGACAAAGTGTGTTGTGAAACTGGGTGGAGGACACACAGTTGTCTTAACTAACGCTTTTCAATTAAATGGTGTTGCACAACATAAATACGCACCAATAGCCACTCTTCTGCTTGATCATACTCCAGTTTCTCCATCCGAGTTACTCAACAGTTAGTTCTGAGACGATGATGTCTTGAAACGGGGAGGGACGTAGATGAATGATAAAAGTCGAAACAGTGCTCCGCTTCTAGTTACTAATGCAGCCAGATGACGAACACGATGCATGTGGACATAGTGACGCTGACTGCCGTCGTTCTTTGCTTCCCTTTGCTCACAATATGCGCCCCACTGTAAGTACATTCATTTTTTAAACCTCCAAAAAGGAGGTTTCTGAAATTCATGAAAATGCTCCTTCTGCTAGACAAATGTAAATCTTAAGTATTGATTTGTCAGGTATGTTCTGTCGGCTCCTAATATGCTGAGGGTGGGTTCCTCAGAGAACCTGTTTGTGGAGGCTCAGGATTACACTGGAGGAGACCTGAACGTGAGGATCATAGTAAAGAATCATCCGAAGAAGAACCTGGATATACTGTCTAAATCAGTGACACTGACTGCAGCCAACAATTTCCAGATCCTTAACGATATAAAGGTGAGAGTGTAGTAATTACAGTGCAGTGATGTCTCATTTATTTTATTAACCGTTATAACTGGCTGGTTATCTGTTTTACAGATCCCTGATGATCAGAAATTCTTCTCTGACGATCCTCTGGAGAAGCAGTATGTGTATCTACAAGCTCAGTTTCCATCCGTCACTCTGGAGAAAGTGGTCATGCTCTCATTCCAGACTGGATATATATTTGTCCAAACAGACAAGCCCATCTACACACCTGCTAGCACAGGTACGATTTAGGTTTATTTTAGGCATGGGTCACACTGCTTTTCAATAGGCTTATACAATTAAAGTCTTTAAAATGGTTTTAAAAAATCGTGTTGTTGCATTCAGTGCTGTAATACTGGATATTCTAACGATACATTTTTACTATAATTTATAATAATTTCTGTAACAATAAAACTAGAGAGAATCACACACATATTAACAGAGAAAACGTGATATATTTCTCAGCTGTATAAAAATTACATGTCAACTAGCAGTTAGTACAGTATTAGTAGATTGTCTGCTTAATATCTTCTAACACTTTCTTTGTCAACATTCTACTAACCCTAAACCTACCCTGTCTACTCTGAGAGTTAGTAGACATGTAGTTGCAAATTAATGACAATTAGTTGACATGTAGTTGACATGTAGTTACAAAGTTACTTATAGTTAATAGAATGTCTAAAGTGGACTATCGAAATAAAGTGTAACCAAATGATTTTTAAAGAAGACATTTGCTGTCACCATGCAGTCGCATCACGACAATAGGATACATGCATAAAGTTTTACATAAAATAAAGCTGTAGTACACATAGTAATATTTGATGTGACAATTTTTTTTTTCCAGTTAATTACAGGATCTTCTCCTTAACTGCTGATCAACACCCATTTGATGGAATCTCCATCTCGGTCGATATCATGGTACGGAAATAAATGCTGTATATTCAAGCATAGATTAAGTTAGTGATGCACTGAAATAAATTTTTACCGAAGCTGAAATTAAAGGCACTAGAGAAACACTAATTAAACATCACCATTTCGGTCAAAGATTTCGGCCCTCCATAACTGTTTCAGACCAAACTGAATTTTTTTGCCAAATATTTCCAGTTGGTAAAATTTCGGTGCATCACTACGCTAAATAACTAAACCATCTTGTATGCTGTAACAAGCACCGAAATTATCCCATCACTGGCGGGAAAAAAAAAACTGAATTTTTACTGTTTAACAAGAATCCTCAAGGCATCACACTGGACAGAGATCAATTCCAGCCAAGGCAAGGCATCAGGACCGAAAACTTTGCATTACCTGAACTTGCCAGGTTTGTTTATTGTTGAAGTGCACCATTCAGTCATAATGCAGGTGTTCTCTGTTAGTAAGATGCTTGTGTTTTCTGCACATTCTGTTTTGAAGCGCTGGGATTTGGAAGTTGATCGCAAAGTACACAAACACACCACAAAAGAACTTCACCACTGAATTTGAAGTTATGGAATATGGTAAGTTTACTGCCTCCTCTGGAGAACAAATGATGTTGGTAAAGTTGTAGGAAATATTGAAGAATGGCTGAAATGTGTTGTATTTTTTGTAGTGCTGCCGAGCTTTGAAGTGACCTTAAATCCACGCAAATCATTCTTCTATGTGAATGAGCACTCTCTGGCAGTAGACATATCAGCTAAGTACGAGAACTTTAATTGATCTGTTTGACTGTGCACACTACTCCAATTTAGTACTCTTAAGTAGTCAAGTTTTTATTGCATATTTCATATGTACTTTATATTTCTGTGACCACACCGGTTATTTAAAGATTTATCACAAGGAATGTTCTCAAATGTTTGATAAGTATATTTGTTTCTTTAGGTACCTGTTTGGTAATAAGGTGAGAGGCACTGCATTTGTGGTGTTTGGTGTGATAGACAATGAGAAGAAGATCAGCATTGCTTCTTCACTGCAAAGGGTTCAGGTGAGTTCAGACAGAGCTGTGCTTTATAACTTTATTAATTATAATATGCACAACTTCATTTGGAGACAAAAAAGGCCTTTCTTGCATGTTTGTGGTTCAACATAACTGCTGTTTCATTGTGAATTGTATGCCTTTTTTTTTATTAAGCAACAGACATAAGATGTGCAATTCATATCGCAATCCTAATGTAAGTGCAATAGGGGGGTCTGTGACCAGTGTTTTACAGTACTACAGAAAAATACTAAAACACAATTTTTTTTAAATTATTAAAAACATTTAATAAAATAAAAACAATGTATAAAAATATTTTATTTATTAATATAATTTATTTATTCATTCATTTAAAAAAACAAAGCTAAAA